AGCAACATGAACACAGACAGCAGCAGCAAACACAGCAGCAGCAACATGAAACACAGCAGCAGCAGCAACATGAAACACAGCAGCAGCAGCAACATGAAACACAGCAGCAGCAGCAACATGAAACACAGCAGCAGCAGCAACATGAAACACAGCAGCAGCAGCAATAGCGAGGCAGAGGAAGGAAGACCTGGCAGCTTAATTAGAGCGGCAAGTTAAGAAGAATGCGTTTGGTTGGTTGTAAGAGGGACGAGGCGCACCACGTGTTAATGTATGATTGGTGCTCGAGTTGACTGCCTGAACTAGCTCGCAGGCTTCGCCCCATTTATGCTTTTATAAGTATGTCAACTTTCAAAATCATGACATTTTACAGAGGCACATTATATATAAAATACAGGCGAACCACATTCCCAGATCAGATAGCGAATGCTTCAGTTTGTAAAATAATTGTTGTGTGATAAATAAATTGGGTCAACCAGAAACAAACAAACAAAAGTCAGGCAATTAATCCGCTTGTGATAATATTTGAACAAGAGGTGTCGGCTGCTAAATGCATTCTCACTATTGCCACAGCTATTAATTATCTATTAAATGACAAGCCAATAGATTGAATGTTAATCTACTGTATGATAGTTTTGACGTGCAACCATTTTAGTCATTTGTCAAGCAACACACCAAACATCTGTCACAGCGTCTTACTCCAGGATACTTGAAATCCTCAGTTTTGTTGAGGTGTTAGTCAGACAAGAAAAGAGCCATTTTAACACATCTCTCCCTCTCGTTTGTCCTCCAGCACCCCTTTGTGTCCCAGCCTCTCAGCAGGACGCTGGCCATAGAGCTGCTGGACAAATCCAACAACCCCGACCACAGCACCTTCAACGACTTTGACGACGATGACCCTGAACCAGAGGTAACCTTTGACCTTCTCGAGTTGCAGTCAGGTCAACTGAACAGTGATTATGTTTTTACTGGATCCCGCTTATTTATTTTTTTATTTTTTTTATTTGTTCATTAAATTCCTTCTTCGCCCACCACCATTTTTTCACCCTCCACAACCTCAGTCTCCCTTTTCCCCGGCACATGTGACTCATCTTTATGCTCTTTGTCCTCCCCCTACCCCTTACCCCCTCTTTCCTTTCCTTCTTTGCACTCTTTTTATCTTCTGCTCTTCTACTTCCTCTTTCCTCCTCTCTTCCTCCTTGTAGCACTTCTCCTTTCTCTCTCTACCTTTCTCTCCTCCTTCTTTCTCCCTTCCTTTCTTTCTCCTCTCTTCTTGTTTCCATCCCCCCATCTTCTACCTCCTCCTCAGTTTAAGTACAGGGGTCATTTCCTACCCATAAGCCCCGGTGCTCGACGTGCACCTCGTTTTGCGGCGCGCAGGAAGGTACCAGTTTGGGCTGCGGTGTCTGCAGTGATGTCATTCTAACACAAACGATCCTGTCAGATGTGTTTGTCTCTCGGAGGAGGAGGAGGAGGACCACAGGACTGAATGAATAGAAAGTAGATTTCCATTCAGTGCAGTGTCTGCTGGTGCTGTCATGGAAACTGGCATTGGCATGTCATTTATCTGAAGGCTGATGGATTACCAGTGACGTGATTGGCTCAACATGCCATAGAGCACTTTTGTTCAGGATTTTCTTTTTCATCAGACGTTGTTGATTAAAAGTATATTATCTTTGATTTAAACGTATTATTATTACAGTCCATTTTTAAACGGCATTTCATAGACAGCCACATAGATGTACTTTTGGCCTCGTGATAAACACATGGCCATTGATTTAAGTATGGATGTAGAAGTAGCAATGACAACAAAATTAACCTTAGGAAAATTAAATAAGGTTTTGGCTAGACTAAATGACTAAAATCTTATTATCTATAGAGAACAAATGATTAAAAAAGTCAACATTGTTCATTAACTTAAAGGTGGGGTAGGTCATTTTGGAGAAACCAGCTCGAGTGCGCTAGAATTTGAAAATACACAGCCGGAAAAAATCTGCCACTTCCTTACAGAGCCCCTCCTCCAACACACACGAACGCGCACATGACCAATGAGGGCACGAGATAAGTTTGTGCACAGATGGAAGGCTGACAGGCAGGTAGGCCATCCAGTTATTTTAGCCGGGCCGGCTCAGATGATTGGTCGTGCTTTTTACAGCGCCACGACTTCCACAGATGACATTTTTTGTCAAAGCACTTAAGATATTCATTGCTATCGGGATGTTAAGAGCATTCCATGGAATATAATATAATATATAGTGTATCTCGAGCCAGTTTCTCAAACTTACCTACCCCACCTTTAAGTGCAGTGGTTTCAATCTCCTTATCGTACTCATCTTACTTACTTAGTATTGATAACAAACAAACTATGCTCACTTCCATGACACCATTATTGCCGTCTCGTCCAAACTCCAGCAGATCACTTATTATCACTTCCTTTCATTCTTTTTCTGTGGTTTAAAGAAATGGCTAGATTCGTGAAGATGGCTACCATAGTGTGACCACTTCTCTCTCTTCAGCATATTGCATTCAAACCAAGGTGCAAACAAATAGTGTTGGCATTTTCCCACTTCTAGAGAGGTAGGGTTTCTCTCATGACTTTTGTACATCAGTAATACGGTGAAGGTTACTAATCTGTAACTCAAATCATCTTTAAAAAGACTAAGGAATATTTATGCAGCTCTGTATAAATCAAAATATATTATTTATTATACTTTAAAAACATAAGATACAATAACATTTTAAAAACGTCGAGGAGTACTCAAATATGTCCGGTATGGTAGCCATCTTCATCAATCTTTGCCATTACAGGTACTACTAACCATGAGTTGTTTGTTATGAAGTTGAACTTGATTACGCCGATATGAGGTGGTTTTAAATGGACACGTCTATAAGTGTATCTGTGCTACAATTTTGGCTTTGACAGATGCATTTTTGCCTTGGTTTGTCTTTTCCCAGTGCTTTACAGGCATGGTTTGAGGTTGCTGTGTTTTTCTGTGTTCTACAAGACAAGTATAAATCTTAAGATGAAATACTGAAAGTGGAGCCAGTAAAGTTGAAATACAGTTACCCTGTTGTCAGTGCATATTGTGTGATGCCAAGTCTGTTGTCAACTGATTCCCACATGGGTCTGCAACATTAAAACATGAATCAATGTGCTGCATTAAAGTCACACTCAGAATATCCTCGAGCATAATAAGAATAAATAATTTCATACAGGGACTCGTGAGAATAGTTTCTAAAGGAAATGTTGTTGCCAGGGAAGGTTTGTGTTTTCCGTTGGTTGCTATGTTTTGGTTGTCTGGTTGCAGTGTGCGGCTGGCTTTTATTTTTGCTGTGTCATCAAATCCCACCCACAGGAAATAGCTGAAGGATTATTGTTATTTTTAAAAGCCTATTGTAATCTTCTCAAGTGCCGTTTGAACTACTACACTGTGTATATCCTTTGAACAGCGATTTACTGTGTGTGTGTGTCTTTCTCTTTCCTGATAGTCCCCGGTCTCTGTTCCTCATCGTATTCGCTCCATTAGCAGGAGCACCAGGGAGGGAAAGACGCTGTCAGAGATAAACTGTGAGTTCACACACAAGTTCACAACAACAACAAATGCATTTTGAGTCAGAAAACAGATAACCTGAACCTTCTGACTCTCTTCATAAACAGAGAATCTCATGATGTTCCCCTCTGTTTCTTCCCCATACTCTGTCTCTTACTTTTTCGTTCTCAGTTGGCCAAGTTAAGTTTGATCCTCCACTGAGAAAGGAGACCGAACCTCATCATGAACCGGTGAGTTTTTACCTGTGGCATGTGTGTGTAAGTGTGTGTGGGAGAGTGAGCGTATGTCCGTGTGGTTGTCAACACCAGTACCAGCATGGCTGACCCTCACCTACTCACAGGAAGCACCCTATGTTGTTGTCAGTCTGTGTCAAACTAAACATGAAGCCCATCCACATAGTTCCCTCTGGTAGTCACACACATGAAGCGATTTTAGGCAGGGATGTCCCGATAAATCTTATTGTAGGTGAGAATGAAATCAGTTTGATAGCGATCAGAGTGTATGGGCGATTTTAGGGTTCAGGCGAGCCGCTTAGATACAATAGAAACATAGAAGCAGTGATCCTATATGTGGAAAAGTTCCAATTGAGGTGTTACAGGCCTCCGATGAGAATGCTTTCCTGTGGACGTCCAAATCAGAGGAGACTCTTGCATATCCCAGAGCATCAGGGATAATGTGTCCCACATGGACTGAAGAGCCTCGGGATCCACCTGTTAGTGCTGGCTGACGCGGCTGGAAAAACATCTGCCGCCACCATGAACATCTCCAGCCCAGTGGTGACAGCCAGGCAGTCTTAGACATGGAAACAACAAGGACTGTGAAGCACTGTTTATATTAGCCATCTTGCTCTGGAGTCTCCTTATTCACAACAGCATAGGCAGAGATGTATCCTTTCTGTTTGTTAGAGTGAAAATGTATATTATGGCTTAAAACAATGTGTTACATTATAAAGTGTTGGTTATAAAATGTGTACTGTTTGAGCTATAGTTCACTGCTAAGTTTGTTTTCAAGTAACTCAAGCTGTTTCTGTTTTTGCCCATCACTTTTAGAGCTACTGAGTGTTTGCTTGTGGTGAAGGGTTCAGAGTCACGTTTTGTTAAAGTCCTCCGTTCCCTCACTCCCTCTCACTTCTTCTGTCCGTCCTTTGCACTTGCACTTTTTCCACAAACTCCACTTTCCTCTACCTTTTCAAGTCTGTTGAGAAATACCTAATCCTGAATCTATCCATCGATTCATGTTATGAGACATAGTCCCCAGTGTAGTTCTTTGTAACGTTAAGTAGGGCTGCTCGATTATGGCAAAAATCATAATCTCGATTATTTGGGTCAATAATTGATATCACGATTATTCAAATGTACTTTGAAAACGTCAATTTATTGGAAAAAAAAAACATTTGTACAGTATGTTTTTAACAGTTGATTACCCTGAATTTTAAGTATAATTCAACTGAAAAACCAAAAAGAAAAGTAATAATAATAATTAAAAAATCGTTTTATTTCGATTACGTTGTTTACGTAATCGTTGCAAGCCATAATCGTAATTGCGATTAAAATACGATTAATTGAGCAGCCCTAACGTTAATCCACGTTCATTCACCGCCCTCAGTCCTTCCCCTTTGCTTCAAAGTAACATAATATCACGGCTCGTCCTCCACAAGATCTGTCCATTCAGGATGACAGTGCTATATATAGCATTTTAGAATCAATAAATCATTAGCACATACATATTGTTATATATTATTGATGATATAAATACTGGAAGCATTTTGATGCTCAAAGGGGTCAATGGCTGGAGTTATTTTCGGCATGTTTTTCTGTGAAATCAGGGTTTCTGCGGATACTTAAAATGCCTTAAAAGGATTGTATTCATTCATCAATACATGTTACTATTTAAATCTGTAAAATTAGTATTAAAATTACTTAAATGAATCTTTCAAAAGTCTTTAAAACTCTTATAAAAAAGACCTTGGATGTTATGATCCGTGTTTCCCCCCAAATTGCAATATACAATCTTTGTTAACATATTTGTATTATTATTTACCTCAAAATCATGCTGACCTCAGTCTCAGAGGAAATGTGCAGACAATTGGTTTTAAATGGAATTCATTTGATTAAAGAGGCATTGAAAAGTCTTGAATCTAACTTGCCTTCAGCTTGGTACTGCTAACCAAAAACAAACATTCCCACAACAACACTCAGGAACCAGTATTAAGATAGCATCATGTCTTAATTAAAATAAATACTACTGTAAAAAGACAGATGTTTCCAATTGTCTTATATAAGCACCAAGTAGCTAGGGCTGCTCGATTATGGCAAAAATCATAATCTCGATTATTTGGGTCAATAATTGTAATTGCGATAATTAAATGTGATTATTCGTTGACTTTGAAAACATCCATTTATTGGAGAAAGAAAATGTGAACAGTATATTTTTAACAGTTGATTACCCTGAACTTTAAGTATAATTCAACTGAAAAACCAAAAGAAAAAAAGTAATAATAATAATAAAAAAATAATCGTTTTATTTCGATTACGTTGTTTTCGTAATCGTTGCAAGCCATAATCGTAATCGCGATTAAAATACGATTAATTGAGCAGCCCTACAAGTAGCACCAATGATATATTCATCACATTTATTAATGCCTCTCCTCCCTAGTTTTGCATCTACACCAGTTCCCTTCCCCCTTGACCTATACCCCTCTTCCTGTCAGATTAATAATCCAGTATCTTCCTCCTTCTCCTCATCCTCCTCCTCCTCTCTCTCGCTGATCCACGGACTTCAAAGCCCATTTTGGCCCTAATCCATTTCTCATCCACCATCGTCTCTCGTGTATCTATGTGTCGTCGGCCCTTGCCTCCATCAGTCCAGGTTAATGTATTAACTGAGGTCTCTCTCGCTCTGTCTTGCTCACCAGTGTGAATCTGAGCCCTATCTGGACTGTGTTGAGGAGCTCTACTATACCGCGAGATCTAATCTGGTAGTACTCTTTCTATCCGTCCCTCTCTCCTTCGGCCTCTCTCTCTGCTCCTACATTAGTTATTTATTCTTTTACTTCCTCTCTTTTTTAACCTTATACCTTATTTCCCTCTCCATATTTCTCTTTGTCATTGATCATCTGTTTCTGAAGGGAACGTCCTCATCCTTCCCTTTGGTTCTCTCGCTTTTTAAGCTGTCTCTTGTGAATTTATTTATTTTATTTATCTTCTAGATTGCTGATTATTTTTGGCTGCTCCATGTCCAACATGTATTTTATTAATGTTCAGTTTTCTTCCATCTATTCTGGTCCGTCCGTCTGTCACTGTTCATTTTATTCTTCTTTCTTCCAGCCTTGGCTGTTGCCTCACTAACTGGTGTTGTAGTTGTCATGGTGATTAGAGTCGTAGTGGTGCTGTTGTTGTTGTTATTGTTGTTCTTTTAGTTTTTTTTACATATATGAAATTCACATACTTACATTACATTACATTGCATTTAGCTGACGCTTTTGTCCAAAGCGACTTACAATAAGTACATTCGACCAGGAAGACACAACCTTGAAGAAAACAGAATCATATAAGTATATCAGGTTTCATAGAGCCAAACATTTCAAGTGCTACTCAACTGGCTTTAGGTAAGCCAGTCCTTTATTAGTATAAAAGTGCTTCGTTAATAGTTCTAACGCTCGAAGTGGAGTACACTTACACAAACATTTCAATCAACCAAATTCTAAATGAAAAAAAATCTCACACAGACACACACAGGCATTCCTACTTAAAAAAAAGGTTAATCATTTGTATTTGAAATTAATTAGAAACACTCACACTCAACTTTTCAACTTTTCCTTTCTTCTACCTGATATTTCTTTATATTTCTCTCTGCAGAAGGCGTCTCTTTTCCTACATTTCTGCTTACATGTTGACTAACCTCTTGCGTCTTGTAGTTGAGCGGAGCCATGAGGCCCTTTTCTTGCGTGTGTGTGTGTGTGTATGTCTGTGTGTCTGCCTGTGAGTTTGCAGTATGTGTTTCCCTCTGCATGCTTGTCATGTTGTGTCATTATCTTTACAAATGTTGTCATGACTCAATGCTGATTCACATTGTGTCTTCATGTACTAGATGTAGGCTGAGCAAGCCCCTGCTGCTTATTTCCAGGGAGAACTTGCTGCTTTACTGGAGATATTATTATTCCTATCATCCACCCCAGTAATTCAACTATTGAACAATGTTTCAGTAGAGTCACTATTTTATTTCATTGTTATGGTGGCACTTAGCCAACATCTTAAGCCCTGTTTATGTCCCTGGAGAAATTAAAAACAGTAGATGCTTCAATGAGCTACTTATGACTTATTATGCCACAGTTGTAATGTAATTTGTTTTTCTTTAAGGACTTGCAGTTGGAGTACGGACACGATTCACCAAGTCTTCTGGGAGGAAACAAGTAAGTGTCGTGTTCACTGACTGTCTTTTTTATGATGTATATTTCTTTCTCTTTTCTCCTCTACCTTGATCTCCCCGTTAGTCCATAACCGTGAGGGAGGTTGTGGACTAACAGGGAGAGACAGAATATGAGATTTCTGTGGGCTGTAGGTTTGATAATTTATTTATAATTGCAGCTCGAGGGATGTTCAAGTGCTGTTCTTAGCTTTCTGCTTTCAAGGGTGCTGCTTTGGAAGCAAAATGCTCACCTTTATTCAGATCAGGGAAACTATTTTGCAAGCACTTAACTTAGATTTGTACCCCTTTGTTTTCTGTCATTTATCTGTATTATCACTAGGGATGGGTATCGTTTGAAATGTATCGATTCCGATTTCGATTCCGGTTCTGCTTATCGATTCCGGTTCTTATCGATTCCCCGTTTCGATTCCAAAATTGTAAAATAAAGAGGTCAAACGTTTAGATAACAAAAATATATTTATTCTTAAAAGGTTTAACTGAAATTGTTACTAAAAAATATACATGCAATACAAATGTATTGCACAATAGCTGTGCTTTATTTTAACTGAGCTATGCCTGTGGCAAGCTATTAACAGGCATTACACTTTGCCTTTTCTTTTTCTTTTTTAGTGGAGCCTCACTTCAGAGTGTTTACCGCGACCTATCTTTGGTGTTATGAAGTGACTGAGCTCGTGAAATGTCTACGGGAGGGCGGGGGAGCATCGCTGCGGGGCAACTGTGGACCTCTGTCGCCTGTCAGCGCAATTTATATGATGCCGTTTAAAAAAATGAAGGGCGGTGCCGGCCGTCAGCGTACCGAGCCGGCCGTCAACGGCCCGCTGACGACCGGCCGTTCTGTGATTCTCCAGGTCCGCCCTGTATTCCACCGGGTCACCGCAGCACCGCGGTGCAGACGGACCCGCTGGAATACAGGGTCTACCGCGTTTAGGAACCGTTAAGCAGAACCGAAATTGTGTATTTTGTATGGGTACCCGGTACCCGGCATTTTCTTATCGGTTCTCATCTGGAACCGAGTTTCGGTTCCCAACCCTAATTATCACTCGTGCTTTTCTCTCCACTTGTCCCTCAAACAGGAGTCTTCTTAAATCTGTGGAGGAGGAGCTTCATCAGAGGTGAGTCAGAAGTCTCTGTATATCCTGATTCACTCGGGGCCTCTTGATTCGCTAGTGCTATAACCACGCCCACCCATCGGCTAATCATTGTTAACGTCAGGACTAATCGGGCCAATCACACGCAACTAACCTTGTAATGACTTCAGGCTGTCACTGCTTTCAGCATTTTGGATTCTTCTGGGTTTTATTTTCCCTCTGCGGCTTGCTTCATGCTTTGGTGTCATCAGGAGAAGGCTGTGCTTCATAGGAGCTTCCTGCAGAGCATGGCTGACACACACACAAAGACACACATACACACACACACAAATGTGAGTGTTTATACAGTTTCCCAGACAAAACTCCAGTGGGTGTCTTTAGCAATTTTAGGCAAGTCTGTGTATTTCTTACCTCAAAAACGATGATAATTACCGTGCTTTGCTATCTGTTATGAGACAATCTGATACATCAAATGTGCTGCAAATTGTGTAAAAGCAAGGTCTGCTGAATCAATGTTGTTATTATATTATATTTTGTAAGACTGTTTGGCAAGACACCTAAAATGTAGTTGTTTTTTATAACTACATAAAAAGGGTTTGGTCCCTTATTTCTCCTTTTTTAGTGGACAGCGGTAGAAGTATTACTAGTAGAGGAGATAACTGTTATGTTGTTTTAGTCTTTTAGGTTATATTATCATTACATTATTTGACTGACCTAGGTAGAATATAGTTAAGAGTTAAAGCTTCTTCTAGTGTATAGAAGTGCCTGGTCTGGTAGTAGAAATAACTCCAAGGGGGAAAAGCAAGTGTCTTTTTCATAGTTTCAGGTTTTAAATTGTATTATACGAGAAAAGTATTAGTATACAGAATAAGGCATAGACTCGGAATGAGGAAGTCTTCATGAATTTAATCAGTCTTACTAAAACATTGTTAAATATGATCTCTAATCAGAAAATCAGTGTCTTCAAAATAAGCCACTTTCATTTTCAAATATCTGAGATTTGATTGGTTACATTGAAATGAATTGACTGATGAGAGGATACGTGTATTGTGTGGAGGGCGTGTGTAGATCTGGAAAGACTGGAAAGGTTTAAACCCAGTTGTGTTGGTCTTTTCTGTTTGGATCTGTTCAGTCCTTTCAGATCTGCGAGGGTTAGAGGTAGTTTGTGGATGAAGCTTCACTCAGATCTCCCTCCCCTGTCCCCTCTTCCTCTATCTTCCTCTTCCTGTTGTCACCCTACCTCCTTTGCTTGCTCCCTTAATCTCTCCCTCCTCTGCCTCTATCCTCTATTTCTGTTCTCTTCCTCCCACCTCCTCCCTTCTCCTCTCTTACCCACCCTCCTCCTATCTTCACCTCCTCTCCCAGGGGCCATGTGGCACACTTAGGGGATGATGAGGATGAGGATGATGATGGTGCAGATGATGATGAAACTCACACTCAGTAAGTTTTCCCCCCCAGTCGTAGCACTAGAAGCCTCTCTCTCTCCTCGTCTCTTCAGCCCTCCTTCTTCCCCCATCCTTTCCTCTGTCTTTACAAAGAGGAAAGGGTGAGGAAGAGGAGGAAGACGAGGAGGAAGGCTTCTTGTCTTTCCCACAGTTTCATCAACGCATTTCTATGCAGCACACCCCACCATCTCGCCACATATGCCACCTGTGTTTGTGTGTGTTTACAGCCTGTGCCATTACTGCTGTCTTGTGTGACGTTTAATAGCTTACTAACAGTAACCCTAACCCTTAAACTCACCTGGAGGCTTAATACAGAACGTTTTTTATTCGTTTAGTTACATTTTAAATCCATAGATGCACAGGGAAAGTAGATAACTTTAGCCATAGGTATTGCAAAACACCACAGAAATAAAGAGTACATTAAAGCTAGGTGCTAAACCAGATACACGTGAAAATCTTGGTGTATTTTCGGTGCTTAGATCCTCGTGACCTTGACATTAGCTGTTGTCTTGTTTTGTTCTCCACTTGCATCGCCATCTGTGTGCCTCCCTGCTGAGTTTGTGCATGTGTGTGTGGGAATTCAGGCTGTCTTCCTGCCTTTTATAAAACGGTGTGTTTGGCGTCCAGCCTCATCCCTCATTGTGTAAAAGCCAAATCTCTGTGGAGGGCTGGAACATTGTTTCTAGTTATATATTCTCCCCTGCAGTCCGAAAGGCCTCAGCACTCAGCGCACACACGGTACAACATGCATACATAGAAAGAACTGTAATTCCTTAATGCACTGCGATCAATCCTAGTGTACAGTGAAATCAAAGTAATGGTTCCTGGCTATAAACGGGATCGTCTTTACGTCTGTGTGGTTCTTTATAGAAAGAAACATTGTAAGTGATTGGTTAGGGCGCTTCACAGTTCAAACTGATAAAACGACGAATTCAGTCAAAATGCGAAAAATCTGTTAAGCATGAAAATGTAAATGTTAAAAGTCAAACACTTTGATATCGTGAGGACCTTTTTCGGAGCATAACTTCAGTGAGCTAAAAGCTGTAGGTGATTTAAACAAATGTACACAGGGAAACAGTTGCTTAGTAGCTCTTAAATAAATGAAGATATAGCTAATTGTAGCAGTATATTTTCTTCGTCAGTGTAGGGTCAGATTGTTACAACTCAACGCCTCTTCTCTTTTAGATGCTTTTGTGCAGACTTCCTCTCGTTCCTTCCACCATTTAATGTTTTCCTTAGCACCCATGCATGATTTCCTAACGGCAGTTCTGTGCCATTTGCCCCCCAGCACCATGCAACATTTCCCAATACAGTGTTCTCATTCTACCCTTAACAAACCCATAGCTGGAGCATTGCATCATAACTGTTTTGTTTTGTCAGTTACTGATAAAGTTAACATTAAGGGGGTATTAAGCCGTATTTCTGTTGACCCCCATTCAACTGGATCGCTGTGACTCATTGCTATAGAGAGGTGAAGTCCCTCCCTTTCCGGTGGAGCTCCATGGGACCTTATTTCGGAAAAAGTATGTATTGAAGTCAATGGAGAGAGAAAGGTTATCTTTCGATCCCGTTTGAATTGTGCCACGAATTACACATATGATGTTTGTCAATTTAAAAGATAATTTTACAAGTCAAAAAAATTAAAATGTGTCGTAAAACTGAAGTAACACTTTTTTAGTGTGAACCGCTCAATGACCTACATCTCCCGTCTCGCACCACACACCAAGATGGCCGTCACGTTGAAACATTTCACTTCTTTCTTTCAGAATGAGGCGGAAAGTATTAAAAGAGGTGAAAATCACTCCAAGTCTGGGCGTGTTGAGAGCTGTACACACAAGGGGAGTTAGTCGGTCCGTAAGAGCCAGCATGCGGGACCAGGACTCTGGGATTTGTAGTCTTTCTAGTTGCGTATTTTTCATAGTCTTATATTTCAACAGTTTTACGACAATCTGACTTTTTTGACATGGAAATTATTTTTTTAGATTGACAAACATCATATGTGTAATTCGTGGCACAATTCAAACGGGATCGAAAGATAATCTTTCTCTCCCCATTGATTTCAATACATAATTTTTCCGAAATAAGGTCCCATGGAGCGGAAGCAGATGGGCGGGACTTCGCCTCTCTATTGGTGTTCCTGTATTATCATCACTGTGATTGGCCCCTAGTGTTTGTCTTTTAGAATTTGAGAGCTCATATTGGGTATTTCTCTGTCAGACATTAACAAATCAAGACAGTGTACAAGCCAAATGAATAAAGTCTCTGGGAATATAGTGCTTCTCTGCAGTCAAAATTATTACTTTGGTAACAAAAACTTAGCATTATTTAGAGATTGGTTGAATTTCAAGTATATGGGAGGCGTGTGGTGCAGTGGGTTGTGTGTTGGTGTTCGGATCAGGGGGGTCACAGGGTCAAACCCCACTGCAGTCAGCATGTCGTTGTGTCCCTGAGACACTTCACCCCAAATTGCTCCTGTGGGGATTGTCCACAGTATTGTTGTTATAAGTCGATTTGGATAAAAGCGTCTAACAAGTGACATGTAATGTAATATGAATGGTATGAGGTAAATTAGGAAACTGGCTTTAATTATCTAATCAGTTTTTCAGTATCAGCGCTGCTATTCCCAGAGACTTTACACATGCTGCCCCTGTAGTTGTTCCTCGTGATCTCTAACGTGCTAGTCTAACTTTATAGTATTTTTAACCCTTAAAAGTAGTGATCTTTCCTCACTGTCAAACAACAGTTGGGATATGATTATACTTGTCATTTCAGGGTTTCTTTAGCGGCTGATCACTACACAAAATGCACAAAATGTAATTCGTTCTGGATTCATAAAAATTGTCTTTTGATTTTTTTTTTTTATTAACAGCGTAACTACACTTTTTTTGTTTCTGTATGGGATCCACCAAAGAAACAATTATATTACATTCTAAATCGTGTGATCTTGTAAAAACTAAAATGGCAAGTGAAATCATGACCTCTGTGGTGAAAACTGTATATATTGTTTCCATTTTGACTCTAGTTATTAAGAAAATGTTTTTTAGGCTGCTTCTTATGTTTTGTTAAGCAGAATCTTACATTTTCTCCTACCATTTCAGTAAATCGAGCACGATCATGAGGCCAAAGGTCCCGCCTCCCCTTCCTCCCAAGGTATGAACAATGTATTTAAAAGTCTTAGTTTAGTCCTATTTCGCCACATGCATAGAGTGGTGCAGGGATGACGTATTTTTGTAGGTGTGTTATAAAAATGAGATCTTGGGAAAACAAACCTGATAAATGCACGTTTTGTTCAGCCGGATAATCTCCACATGTCTACCCTACTTTTCTAATTTTCTAATCACAAATCCATCAATTTAGATTTATAATTAAACAATTATAAAAGTAGGTTAGACATGTGGAGATTATCCGGCTGAACAAAACGTGCATTTATCAAACAGGTTCGTTTTCCACAGATCTTATTTTTTACAATATTCCAAAATCCTATGGAGAAATCACATTGCTTTTTTGTCAAGGGAACCCATGCACAGCTTACTTCCGGGTCGGCCTACAGAAATACGTCATCACTGCACCACTCTATTATGTTTACTGTCATTGAAAAGAGAGGTGTATTGTTTCGATTTATGAAATATAACTTTTTGTCCCTATCTGTTATTCCCCTCAGCCCAAGTCGCTCTGCTCGTCCCAACAACCCCAGCAGCTACAACATAAACTTGACGATAGCCAATCACACAGCGAGGATGACGGGGGAGGGACCATCAAACGCTGCCCGGTCCCCGACACGGCGAGTCCCGCTAAACCCGCCTCCAACGTCCCCCCGAGACCCCCGCCCCCGAAGCTGCCGCCCCACCGCCGCAGTAGCCTAGGTAACGAGAGCCCGAAGCACTCGGACGCCGAAAACTCTGCCCCAGAGGATGATGGGAGCTTTAGGCATTTCTGGGAGTGGCTCCACACGCCTCACACTGATGAGGAGCTGGAGGAGGCGTGGGAGGTGCTGAAGGAGGTGAAAGAGGAGCAGGAAAAAGAGGAGGAAAAGGAAGAGAGTAAGAGCAGCCACTTGGTAGATTGGTAGTTCCCAAAGACCCTGTCGTCCCCCCTCGATTGGTTGTGTGGTCTCCCACTAGTCAGTCCTCGCAGTCTAATTTATATGTCCCATGACTCCATTAATACCAGTGCTTTCCAATCTTTTGTTTGTAGTTCCTTTTGTCCATCAGCTCCTGCTCAATATAAGTGTTTGTCATTTTTCGTTAAGTCTACTTGGTTGTCTTACCCAATCATATTAAAGCTAGTCGTCTGCTACCACTGGCCCTTCCTTCCTTGGAGGAAGAAGGAAGAGGAGAAAAAAACATTGTCCTGGCTGATCAGAACTCAGGAAACAACAAACAATAGGCGCTTTCACACCAAGTACTTTTCCCAGGAATAGTTTTTTTTTTTCCTGGAACTATCTAGTAAATCACGTTCACACCGGAAATAAGTCCCTGAGGGAGCCGCTGACGTCACTTCTTCTTCTGCTTTGGGTTTACTGGCAGGCCGCAAACAACTTCACGGTGTATACTGCCACCCGAAGTCCCCAGAGTTGGACTGGCTTCAGTAGAAGCTGCTTGGACTCCCAGCAGCTTCTACTGAAGCCTTCGGAGTAAATCGCCAGAACGCCGACACCTCCTCATCTCCACCGCTCCCATGTTTTCTTTTGTGTTGCCATAAGTTAGTCTCTCTCCGTTGGTGTGCTGGGCTAATGCTAATAATGCTAATGCGAGCAAATAAAATGGCGGCTTCACAAAAACGGGGTTTTACGGGGCGTGGTTTGCAATCGCCCAGTCAATCAGAAATTGGAACCTTTTTCTCCCCAGGAAAGTCCCTGCTCTCTAGCAGACACTAAAAAGGGGTGAAAAGGTTCGCAAAAAAAAGTTGGAAAGTTCCAGATCTTTTTGGTGTGAACGCAAAATCCCAGGAACTATCGGAACTCATCCTGAGAAAAGTACTCCGGTGTGAAAGCGCCTAATAGTGGTATGGCACATGACATGAGTTCTTATTAATTCATCCACTCTGGTCTTTTCTGTTCCTGTTGGCGGCTTTATAAATATCAATGCTAAAATGTAACTCAGCAGTTTAATTGAGAAGTTAGCAAACGAAAAAATAAGCTTTTCAAACAACAGCATTTAAAATGTTTTAGGCAATTTGTGTACAATGATCTGAACAGAAACACCTAAGCTTTGACAATCGCTTTCAAATTGACAAGCTTACTTCTTAACAAAGACACACAATTATATCCAGCTGATTGTAGGACATTTCCATACAGATTCAATCCGATAATTTCCATTGCTTTATTCAGGGAAATCAGGTTTTTATTACTTTATGAAGGCCATCATTCTGTAAAATATCTTTTAATTTCCGTGTCTTCTCTGGACTAAATCAATAGCAGAAGTTAGGTTCACCTGTTTACTCTCTAGATTGTGACAGAAGGCAGGTGTTATTACAACAAGTTGGTTATTAGTTGACAGATTAGTGTTTATGGAAACTCACATTTCTTTGTTGTGCTTTATCAAATATTTAGTGAGCAACCTTATATGGAGAGGTTTTGTTTGGAGTTGAGATAAGAGAACAGATTGGAAAATATGGTTCAGTAGAATCGGTATAGACATGAAATAGGTGGACAATAGAGATTAGGAATATACAGTTATGCCAGAATAGCCTTCAGCAGGCATGAATTGGTGAAGTGTGTGTGTGTGTGTGTGTGTGTGTGTGTGTGTGGTGTGTGTGTGTGTGTGTGTGTGTGTGTGTGTGTGTGTGTGTGTGTGTGTGTGTGTGTGTGTGTGTGTGTGGTGTGTGTGTGTGTGTGTGTGTGTGTGTGTGTGTGTGTGTGTGTGTGTGTGTGTGTGTGTGTGTGTGTGTGTGGTGTGTGTGTGTGTGTGGTGTGGTGTGTTGTGTGTGTGTGTGTGTGTGTGTGTGTGTGTGTGTGTGTGTGTGTGTGTGTGTGTGTGTTGTTCTTGCAATCATGACAGGACATGTTTTGGTCCTTAGCTACTGCAAATACCTCATTATTTTACAATTTATCAGCTAACTCCTGCTTTCTTAACACAGTAGGGCATGCATATTTCCTTTGGCTTCTTAAATGATTGCAGTGGTAGAGTAAACCAACAATCGACCCACATTGACCGCTAGCTATCAGGTTGTCTGTGTTGCATTAACACCCTCCTTCGCTCATTACTCTCTTTGATCCTGTGTATTATCCTGCTAGCCTGCTTCCTCCTCCCCTCCCTCTCTCCTCCCAGTAGTGTGTGTGTTACTCCTCTGTGTCCTCTGTCCTACACATTAAATTGTACTCATACAACTATATGTATGAGAAAGTGTCGATGTGACTGAATTGTGCTTTCAATGTGTATTCTGCAGCTAAGTCTGTTTTTTAACTCGCATGTTCTGCTGCATACTCACACACACTGACTCTCTCACATGTAACCTTGATCTGAATTTGTGTTTTATGCGTTGTTTCTGTTGTTGAAGGGAATGGGCTGAACACAGCTCCTGCACACGGGGTAGAGAGGGAGAGTCCAGCAGACAGACAGTCCACCATGCCCCCTGGTGTCCCAACTAGGAAGGACAAGAAGGACGTTCCGGTAAGTAGACACTGCTAAATATCAGTGAAGGATTTCCAGATGTTTGAGGAAGTTACCAAGTGACCAATTATATATTTTACGTTTTCACCAAATGTGCTTTTAGTGAACCAATTGCTTAGATCATTCATATTTGACATAATGCTAGAATAAGTAGCTTGTGTGTAGCTCAAGATTCACTTACAGTTAGAGTGACCAGGTGTCATACAACACCTGGCTCATAAAGAAAATATCGATCTATGGATATATTCCTGCTGAAACCAAAATATAACTTAAAGGGGACCTATCATGCAAAATGCACTTTTTGATGTCTTTCATATATAAACATGTGTCCCCGGTGTGTCAGGGAACTCACGCAGCGTCAGAAAATAAAACCCTCTCTCTTTTCCTCCGTACCCAAATCTCTAAAAACGGGGCTACAACGGAGCTGATCCAGATTTGCGTCCGATATGACGTAATATCTGAAATGTGGACCCACGGCCCAATCAGAAAGTAGCTATCAGAAACAATGCCCGACTGCTTTGGACGTAATATGGTCGGTGTTTACATTGGCATCGCTAACACTCAGAGCTAACCTGTACTGGAGAGCATGTGTGTGAAGAAGCAGGAAATACAAAGGAACTCACCTTGTGGTATAACCGGCAAGAGAGAAAGCCTTTGAGCTCCAGACTGTTTCAGAGAGAATCCTTGATAATCCATGATATGGCGTTTCATCACGGCAGCATTTAGTTTAGACAGTAGCTGCCGGGTCCCGCATGAGCTCAGACCCTTCCTTTTTTCCAGGAAGTGAAATAGAGGGATATGAGGCATGGCTAGAATGGGTGATCTGTTTGGTATTTTGAGCAAAACACTTTATAGACATGTTTTTTATATATTTGTATATATCTGAGACCTATGCTAGTGCCTAAAAATAGCATGATAGATGACCTTTAATCTAAACTAGCTCTTAGCAATGCAGTAACATGTCCTGCAAAAACGTCCTCTTTGTCCCATATGTGGCTTGTTGGCACCCGGTCACCCTACTTACAGTATGTTAGAGGACTATATATAATCCAATGATGACTGACTCTTTGTGTGTGTCTGTGTGTGTGTTTATCTGTCTGTCCTAGAAGCCAATCAGTAATGGTCTTCCTCCTACACCCAAAGTCCATGTAAGTAAAAGTCTTTCTGTCTCCCTTTTTAGAAAACACTTCTTTCTTTTTTTGTCGGCAAAGTTCATAATTTGCATCGCATTTATTCCTCTCTTCCTCCCATTTGCAGATGGGCGCGTGTTTCTCCAAGGTGTTCAACGGCTGTCCTCTGAAGATCCACTGCGCCACGTCCTGGATCAACCCCGACACCAGAGGTAAGCAATAAGAAATAACCCCCTCGTGAATCTTGAAGGAACTGTTCAGTGTGAAATGATAGCTGTTGTTCTGATCTAAACAGTAATGTTTGTTTGTGTTTCAGACCAGTACTTGATATTTGGAGCTGAAGAGGGGATCTACACCTTAAACCTTAATGAGCTGCATGAGACCTCCATGGAACAGGTGAGACTGGAGATTTAAATATAATAGTAATATACTTCAGGATCATAATACCTTTATTAGTCCCACAGAGGGGAAATGTACGTTGTTACAGCAGAAAAAGAGCCGAAGACAGCTTAATGTTACGTAGAAGCATGCATACAAAAGTATTAAAGTACAAAAAAAAGTTATAAATAAAATAAAAAGTTACACAATTTACAAAATACACATCCTGTAACAGTTCTTAGGATTTAGCAACCAGGTATATATTGACGGCATATATATATATTGCATATATAGCACATATTGCACATAGTTGGTTGGTATAATACTTTAAACCTTACTTATTGGTTTATACAATTTGACTGTTCCTAATTAATGATGCCTCCCATTGGCAGTCGAATCTTGTACAATTTATTAGTTGTTCCTCTTAAAAAGCCTACAATCAATTTATTCAAGCAAGTTGTACTATAGTGCTCATTTTCTGCATCCTAATTCTCTCTCTACCTTGTATCTGCCTGCAGCTCTTTCCTCGGAGGTGTACCTGGTTATATGTCATGAACAGCTGTCTTCTCTCCATATCTGGTGAGTTATTGTATAACATGTCTAGTCATGGAAGTGTTTGGAAGTGAACTATATTTTAGTTGTATTCTTATAACTGGTTTGTGCATCTTGTATTTACAGTCAACATTATTTGTTATGTATCTTTTCTGTTCCCTTTCCTTATTCTCTTCTCTTCTGTATATTCCCTCTGCAGGAAAAGCGTCTCAGCTGTACTCCCACAGTCTGAGCGGACTGTTCGAACAGGCCAGACAGTTAGGGAAGTTACCGGTAGCCATTCCCACACACAAGCTGCCTGATAAGATGATTCCCAGGTAAGTCTAAACAGGAATTACAAATATGTAATTGAAAAACATTATTTTTTCTTGGTAAACTCGATTGTAATCCTCCACTCCCTTTTACGGATCGATTTTATGTCAAATCGAATAAAAATGAAAACATACCATCCATGTCCCTTTGAATAATCTCAACACAAATCCATTTTGCAAAGACTCTGATTTCCTTTTTTTAATTGTTTACAGGAAGTATGCGGTGTCCAATAAAATTCCAGACACTAAAGGTTGCCAAAAGTGCTGCGTCGGTGAGTTTTAGCAAAAGCGAACTTTGCATTTTTTGTGACATAAACCATGGAAGAAGTGGCATGATGTTATTCTGGGGTTAACCTGTGTATTATCCCATAGGGAATGTGTATACTATTACTGTTAGTACTTCATATCTCACAACCTAATTATTTTCAAGATATACATTCTTCACAGGTTATTTATTGTGTGTTTAAGATGTTACCAAGAAAGTTAACAATTACTGATCACTGGTTTTGTTCTCATGCAGTTCGAAACCCGTACACAGGCCATAAGTATCTGTGTGGAGCCTTTCAGTCCAGTGTCATGATGTTGGAGTGGGTCGAGTCCATGCAGAAGTTTATGCTCATCAAGGTCAGGGTTTCCTCCTCTCATTTCAGTTTGTTAGTTAGTTAATGAGTTAGTTTATTTGTATAGCACATTTTAAGACACAGAGGCAATTCAAAGTGCTTCACATTTAGGCGGTAATAAAGGGTGACATTTAACACATAATAATTAAAAACCAAACAAACACACAAACCAAAAAAAAGGAAATTCATAAAAGCGATAACATATTGTTTGCAGCAATGATAAGGCACGGTTAAAGGATCTCAAGATAGGCTGCATTAAAAAGAACGTTTTTTAACCTCGATTTAAATCAAGGCTCCTGGCCTTCTGCTGTAGCTCATTTTATAAAATAACTCTCGGAGTTGGAAATGGTCAGAATGTTCTATCCATTAAAGGCAGCTCATTGTGGAATAGCCTCCCAACTGAGATACGGGATTGTCCCACTTTGAACAGTTTTAAAGGTCAACTAAAAGAATGGTTGAGAAACAAACAGATGTGTAATCACCGCTAAATGCACTTTAACACACGGGTATCTCCTCTTGCACTTGATGTAGCTCTTTTATCTTATCTTGCACTTTATATATCATAGCTGCTACATTGTACTGCCATGTGGTTAATGCTTAAATGACATGCTGCTCATGCTCTTTCTGCATATTATGTATTTTTGCTATGTATATAAATGTCATGTTCTTAAATGTTGTATGTGATGGACTACGGATGGAAATTAGCTAAAAGCTCAAATCCGGCATATTTACATTTTGAAGCATTAATTGTTAAAAATGTTCATCAATTGTCCCTCTTCATTAAACGATAAAAAAGACTTAAAGGTGGGGTAGGTGATTCACTTCAGAAACACTTGTTATATTCCATGGAATGCTCTTAACATCCCGATAGCAATGAATATATTAAATGCTTTGACAATAAATACATTAAAACATGTCACCTCTGGAAGCCGTGGCGCTGTAAAAAGCACGACCAATCATCTGAGCCGGCCCGGCTAAAGTAACTGGATGGCCTACCTGCCTGTCAGCCTTCCATCTGTGCACAAACTTATCTCGTGCCCTCATTGGTCATGTGCGCGTTCGTGTGTTGGAGGAGGGGCTCTGTGAGGAAGTCTGAAGGAACTGCTCGGCTGCACTCGAGCTGGTTTCTCCATTCTTATCTACCCTATCCTTTAACATGTTAACACATTTTTACGGCTTGTCTAATTTCCAATGTTACATTTAGTCTCTAAAATCATTAAAAAGTGTTACTTTAAATAGTGTCATCATTACTTGATACAAATCCACGTTTTCATATATTGCTCTTTCACAAGATGTCTGTCCCCAGATGTCAGTAGTCCCGTATCTCCTTCAGATTAGACAACACTAATGGCACTCTTCTCTCCTAACGATTGTCTTTATATCCGCTCTACAGAACATCGACTTCCCGTTGCCGTGTCCGTTGGAGGTCTTTGAGATGCTGGTGGTCCCGGAGCAGACGTACCCTCTGATCTGTGTGGCGGTCAGTAAAGGCCTCGAGCTCAACCAGGTGGTGAAGTTCGGCACCGTCAACCCCAACGCTACCTCCTCCTGGTTTACAGAAGCAGGTGAGAAGAACTGTAAGAACACTTCTTCTTATTTCATACATACAACATTTGATTTGTCGTGAGCTGTTGTTGTGTACAGCTTTGAGGCCAAAACAACATCTGCCGTCTTCTTTCTCGCTGCAGACACACCGCAGACGTGTGTGATCCACGTCACTCAGCTAGAGAGAGACACTATCCTCGTCTGCCTCGACAGTGAGTAGCTTTTCCACTCGTCTGTGCATTTACTCTGTTCAACTTCAACGTTTTTTACTCAGTTCAACTTCAACGTTTTTTACTCAGTTCAACTTCAACGTTTTTTACTCAGTTCAACTTCAACGTTTTTTACTCACCTGCTTCCTTTCCCCTCTCTCTCGGACATCTCGAGGCGCGAGCGAAGAGATCAGATAGCTCGTCAGCTCGAGAGATAGGTATCATGATGTTCTCCTCTATCTCTATCTCCTCTCTTGTCTCTATCATCTCTCTCTCTCTCTCTTCTCTGGCTCTTCTCTCTCTGTCTCTCTGTCTCTCTCTCCTGTCTCTCTCTCTCTCTCCTCTTCTCTCATCTCTCTCTCTGTCTCTCTCTCTCTGATGTCTCCTTGTCTCTCTCTCTCTCCCTCTCTCTCTCATCTCTCTCTCCTCTCTCCATCTCTCTCTCCTCTCTCTCTCTCTCTTCTCTCTGCTCCATGAACAGGGTCTATAAAGATAGTGAACCTCCAGGGCAGGTTAAAATCCAGCAGGAAGTTGTCAGCCAGAGCTCACCTTCAACTCTTCAGATCGAAGCCACAGGTAAATGGGAAGAGAATAGCAAACACTCTATATTAATTACATGTCATTTGTTAGACGCTTTTATCCAAAGCGACTTACATACATACAGGGAGGCTGTGGCCCAGTGGGTTAGTGCGCTAACAGTATTGAGTATGTAAGTCGCTTTGGATATAAAAGCGCCAAACAAGTGACATGTAATGTAATACATTCAATACTGTGGACAATCCCCACAGGAGCAATTTGGGGTGAAGTGTCTTGGGACACAACGACATGCTGACTGCAGACTATATTTTACACAAATAAAACTCCTTACATCTGTATTGGGACCTTAATATCTTTGGTGAACAGAAATTAGCTAGATTTCTTAGTTAAAGTCAAAGTCAACTTTATTGTCAATCTTTCAGTTTGTGTGTACAGACAGAGAGATCGAAATACCGTTTCCCACAATCCCAAATACAAAAATACAAATATGTATATATATATATATACCTATATATTCACAATCAACAGACACATTTATACATACACACACATTAAGACATAAATAAAAGCACAACAATCAATATATACAAAATAACAGTCACTTAAGTACACTAAAGGGACATTAATTGACATGCTTATATTCCTTATATTGTTTCCTTTTAACTATGACATGTTCTGTTATGCCAACACATTTTCCATATTCGTATCCCTCTATTGGATTTAAACAAAACAAGCTAATAGCCCATTAAGATCATCCTTGTTAATGTTTCCCCTTCTTTGCAGTTTGTCTACAAGACAGTGTACTGGCCTTCTGGAGGCATGGCATGCAGGGACGCAGTTTCAAGACCAATGAGGTGAGAGTCATACAATTTCTCTGTATGTGTTAAAGATGAAAATGCACAGTAGAGGTGACCTTTGGACCGTGTAATGTGTTCGCCTCCAGGCATCATGGCAGGATTTCATTTTATCTCCCACTATAATAGGATTTTAAATGACCTTTGTTGTAACCTTTAAAGGATTGTTTGGATTGTTTTCAAGCATTACAAGGCACCTCAGAGTATAACCTACAGTAGACGGGCACGCACACAGTTTTGAGACACACAAAGGATGCATGAAAGCGAAGCAATGTGGACGATGCCATCCACAAAATATATTACACAAAATATAACAATAACTGAATATTCCTTTTAAATGGGAGACAATAAATAAAGCATGTTATTAAATTATTAGTAAAGGAAAAAATGTCAGACATGCAAAATGACCTGATATTAAGCCTAAATTAACTATTTGTTTCACAAGAATCTCTTTCTTTTTACAACTAATGCTGATTGGCCACTTTACTTGACATTGAATTATCATCCTGAGGACATCCCGATAGCTCTGACCTTTTTGTTTATTTTTCGCTCTGTCTCTTTTCCATATTTATTCATCAGATCACCCAGGAGATCTCTGACAGCACACGCATCTTCAGACTACTGGGATCAGACAGGTGAGACTGCAGACTTACACACACACACACACACACACACACACACACACACACACACACACACACACTTAAGCCACATTTTCACTGCATGGTACGACACAACGCGCTATTTTTCGGTTATACACTTGCGATGGTTCCTGGTACTTAATTAAAAGACCACCAAGCGAGCATAGGCTGGTAATAAAGGGTGACATTTAAACACTGCAGACCACCAAACATTAGTCAGCTGCATGTCACGAAGCATACTGCAAAAAACAGGAAAACATTTCGGTACCACTTTACAATAAGACTACCCTTATAAAGGGTTTACGAATAGTTTGTAATTCAATTATTAATTAGGTTGTGAGCACTTTATAAATCATTAATAAGCTTTTATAAGACATGAGATAAACAGGGCAACTGGGACCGGTTGCTTTCCAAATAGTGAGCCCACATTTATCTGTACTGCTAAGCCTTATATTGGCTACCTAGCTTACTTTGTCTCCTTCATCAGCCAGCATCCTTGGTATCTGTTGCTCACTGAGTTGATTCCCGCTAAGTAGCCAATATAAGGCTTAGTCATCTTGCCAAATAGTGAGCCTGTGTTGATGAATGAAAACTATGTTAGAACTGGTTTATAAATGGTTCTTAATGATTAATAAAGTGTTTACAACCTAATTCATAACTTAATTATAAACCCTTTGTGAATCCTTTATAAGGGTAGTCTTATTGTAAAGTGGTAGCAACATTTCTTTCACTTAACCCAGATTTAAAATGTGAAGTGGGTAAAACTTACTTTACATTTTTTAAAACTGGGTAATCCTTTTACACTGCGCCTTTCAATTGAAGTAATAATAAAAGGATGTGTCACATTTTCCATTTATAGTGCAGTTTTATCAGCGCATCCCCAAACGGAGGCGTTGTTATCCGGAGTAAAAGCGTATTTCATTACGACGAGTTGAGTAGAGTTTTACCATGCGGTGTAAATGAGGCTTTAGGTCTCTGTTAACATCCTCTCTGATATTTTATCACTAAAGACGTGACGACTGTAGGGATCCAGAGGCTCAGGACAGAGGCCTCACTCTGCCCAGGTAAACTCACTGAAGCTCCCCCCCTACCACCTCAAAAACCCCTCCTGTCTCTTTCTGTGGGGACTATTGCTCATGTGTGAGAGAAAGAAAGAAAGAGTGTGAATGAGGAAATAAACCAAGGCACCAAAATCATCTTTGTCTGGTCTGATGTTGCAAGCTAACAATATGACTGATAGTATAACTGTCAAAAAGACAGTAAATACCGTCAGTTCTGTGTCAAGGATTGTTAAAACCTGCACTAAATATTAAACCAGCAGCTTGTTTTATGGCGACTAGATAATGTTGGTGTTTTATTACCTCATTACGAAGCAGCTGAGTCTCTTTGAGTTACAATGTGTGAATGTGTGAGCCTTTGGGACCCTCTTAAAACAGTATTAACCGCTCCCACAGTTTCCCTCAAGGTAAACAGAGTGTGACGGGTTTACTGTCAGAGTATCTCCCTCTGCTGACTTTTTCTAAATAACAGGGCTTTCACAGGCTTGGAACATATCCTGTGTGGGTTGCTTCTGTCAGTACAAATTACTGCAATAACTCCTGGTCTTTTATTACGACTTAATGCTTCATTTAACTCAGGGTTTTATTTATTTTTGCCAGAAGCAGGCTGGGTTGTTGTGATTTTTGTGGTTTAAAGGTGGAATAAAGACTGATTCATGTGTTCTTCCCTTCCCTTCAAAACTAACCTGGATCTTGTGTGTGTGTGCTTGTGTTTTTGACTGTGTGTGTTTTTTCAGGGTGGTGGTGTTGGAGAGCCGGCCCACAGACAACCCGACAGCCCACAGCAACCTCTACATCCTGGCAGGCCATGAAAACAGCTACTGAGACACACACAAACACACACACAAACACACTCTCTAAACACCCCTCCACTAATGCAAACAAGGGAGTGAGCAACCGGGAAAAGACCCCCACCCTTACCGCTTACCCCCCCCCCAAAACTCCTGTGTCCCCTTGGAGAGGAGACGATCAAGGGGCAGATGTGTGTTCCCAGTTGCAGACGTTTAAAATGCACCGCAGTGTTACATGTGTTTTAGTTGTGTTGTAGTAGGGCAGCGGGTTGTGGAGCGAGGGTTAGAAACTGCAGATCTGAGGTCAGTTTGGGTTGAGATAATCGGAGGAAACTGCACCTTAGTCGAGCAAATGAAACCCAGAATCCTTCCCACATTTCCCCGTATACTGCACACTGGGAAAGCAGAAGTCTGACGTCAACACTACTTCTACTACTAGTACTACACATATTACTACTGCTACTTGCGCTAAAGCTTCACAGAAGAGCCATCTTGCACAGAAAACGTTTCTCTACTCCATCGTCCTTTCCTCTGTCTTTCATTTCCCTCCCCTTTTTTTTTTTTTTTCATTACACCTTTATTTATTGTCGCATGATGTAACTTTAACAACCAGGATGGCTTTCCTGTTTTATTTGTTTTTAAACATAAAAAGCTTTGCCACCTCTGCTAGCATTGAATTCTGATATCCGTCACCCACACACCACACAAGTGCTTAATTGACCTCTATTTAATTGTTGTAAATATAAATGTAGTATTTTTTTGACAGAGACGAACACTAATGGTCATGTAGATAGGCGTGTGTATAGTTGCTCTGTACAACTGTGGAGACAAGCGGAGAGACAGTGGGCGAGTGATGAAGCAGTAGATTCACTTCCTGGTTCCCTGATCATGTGATGAGGGTCAGGAAGCCCTGCCGTCTCCTCAGGTGGACAGCTTCAGTAATCTGATATTACTCTCATAGTCTGGAGCTCAGCGTTGAACCGAGCTGACACAGAAATGATCGTTTTCATGTTGCATGCATCACCAATGAAACCCGTTTGCACCATAGCGACAGTCGTCAGGGCAACGGGCGTTACAAATTCTCTTCATTCAAGTTTGTTTTTCGACATTCACCCCTTTTTATGGTTTTTATCAGAACGTTTTTGTTTATTTTGCTATTTTTTATCGAACCACTGGTGTTATACATTTGCACAGAGAAAAAGGTATTTGATAAACAGGTGTGATGTCATTCTAATATATGCCCTTGTGTGTGTGCACAGTGTGTGTGTTTCCGTGTGTGTGTGTGTAGACATAGAACATGCACATACCAGTGCGTCATGTACAGATCTGGTCTTTAACAAGTGACAGTTGTGTTTCAGCTCAAGGTCAATTTAAAAAAAGCACCTATATATTAAAAAAGCTGGATTTACACAGAAGGAAACATCTTTTTTTTTTGTGCAATAAATAGAGTTTTCAAGGGTGGGGTGCACCATATTAAAAGTACAATGGGCCTTTCTGTTTAAACAATCACATAACATAGTCAAAATGGTTATATATATGACTATCATTATAGGACGCTTTCACATTTAGGCAAACCACATTTACTGTAGGGAGCAAATGGAAGAGCGTAGCTTATTAGCTTAGCTTGTGACAAAATGGATTTGAACTTCTGTGTAAATCCACATTTTTTCTTTAACTGATTGTATTTTTAACCTCGGCCTTCACTGCTGTGACTTTTTTTAAAGGCCAACATCTGTATAAGAGATCACTACATGCATGTAGATGTGTGGTGTGTAGGAGCGTCTACATGTGGCCGTACACTACGTCTCTACAAGCTGTGACGCTACAGGTAGCTTCAGAGGAACATAGCTGAGACATCAATGTTAACCCTGATATCTTACAGAGCTGAAACATTTTGGGTTTATTGATTTCCTTCGTAGAAACACAGGTATATAAGCTTATAACTACTCCAAGTTAATGCATCATAAAGCGACTTTTTCAGGTCATTCACTACAATAAAATATCAATAATATGACGATAGAGACCTGATTAAGAATAACCACCAAGGGCACAGTAATGTCTTTGAATTCAATGGAAACATTTTGAATTTTATAAGAATTTGACCGACAATTTCAATATTCAACGTCATGAAAACAGCAATGACATCGAATTGAAAGGAACAATAAGTGTTTTAGAAATATTGAAGCTGGCTGTGGAGTAAATGGGAGATTACCTAATGTCTAAATGCATTTCAGCTCTCTATAGATTTGTCACTGAATGTGTCTACGGTGTTTTTAAAAGGGACATTACGTCATGCTGGTGGACAATAAGAAAATAATGTAACAGCTTAGTGTAAAAGCTTTTTCTTCCACGGCTCAGAAAGTCGATATGTCATAATCCTAATCTGTTCCTGCCACTTTACCAACATGGCAGCATGTCCTTCCTCTAAGCATTCAGTGACAGGACGTCCCTATACACTGTGTAACTGTTTTCACACAGATCATCTCACTGGATTCACACTCCTTGATACTTTACTACACTGTTGTTGTGATGTAACAGAAGCAAACAGACCGATAGTTTAGTGAAGTGTCGAGAGCTTGAATCCACTGCGAGGGTTTAAATTATTTGGGTACTTTTGAATTGTCTGTGCACACCTTTCTTGTATAAAAAACCCCACAGAGAGTTGAATTGAGACTAAGGAAATTGGTGTCGGAGATATGAAAAGGCACACTATTGCCATGTAGTAAGTTTTTTAAATGGGAATTTCCTTAATAGGCCATAGAAAAATGTCACAGCTAGTCTGGGGTCGATTCACTTTTAGATTAAGAAAGTGAATCACTTCCCCAGATGAGCGACTTCATGCTAAAACATGTGCGTCTAGCCAACACCCGTTAATACAGAAGTGTCATAGTGAAGTTTCAGAGCTGTAAACAAGTGTTATTCACACAACCAGGTTATTTGACAATGATATGTTCCTATCGATTTGTTCATTCAGTGTCACAAAGATGCCAAGTCTACTAAATAGCCTCAAATTGACATAGTCAACCACTTAAGCATATTTAATCACATTTCCTATTAAAGCCTAATTCATTTAATTAGATATTTGACTTGCTTCGTCATATTCATCCTGTTTTTTGGAGAGAAAATAACATTAGGTCTTGTGGTATGTCGTAGATTTACAATTTGATTTGAAAGACAACCATCAACAGCGTAAACGGTTAGTGTTGAACATGTGCTCTGAGACTGTTGTTAAAGCGTCTTTGTCCTCTCAGTTGACGCATGTAAATGATCCGATTTAGAGAAATCAATACAAGTTACTATAGATGCAAGTTACTTAAAACACATGAAGACAAAGTGAATGACAGATTCTCCTGAAAAGGACTTCAAGTTATTGTTTTTTTTAAAGATTTTTTTTCTTTTTTCTAAATTGACTTGTTTTTAATTGTCATTCAATCCCAAAACAAACTCATCCTGTATCACAGCTGCACATCTTAACTCGTGGAAAGTACTTTTGAATTAATTTAAAACATGTAAGAAATTCTTAAATCTGTCCCATTGTTTTCTGTCGGGTTCATACGTTTTAATTGAGGGAAAACTGTCTCTTTTGCAGATTAACTAAGTGTGTTTCTGTCGGGTTTTAATGACTAAATTCTGCTGTCATAGAGCTCATCTATAATCCCCTGAAGCAGGTGCCAACATGGCAGAGAGTCCATTTGTGTTTTATGACCTCTACTAGATCAAATCATGTGGGAAAATAATTCAAAGGGATTGCTTTAGACACCAGATATGAGCAAAGTAAATTGGCGTTAAGGTCATGTACTAGTAATCCTCTTCTGAATATTGAAGTCAACACCGTTGAGTTATTTGCAAGAGCAGTTTGATCCCAGGTCTCCTCCCTTTATAAGTCAAAACACTTTGTTCTGTCGCTTTTTCACCACCTTTGTCTTTTGTTTTCATAATGCAATGCACACGTTATGAAATGTATATAGTGTAAAATAAAATGGGTTTGTTTTACATACTGTATAATTGCCTATATTTTGTTTCAGAAGTGTAACAGATTTATGAGATGGCAGGTTAACACATTAAAAAGAAGGAACTCGAAACATTTGGTGTCTTGTGGTGATTTAAAGTTTAAGACAGTTGACGTGTATGTAGTATGATATTTGGTTATGGTAAGATCTTATATTTAGTCTAACTAATCCTATATAAGTAACACATTTGCTTAAAAACAAAAAAAAGACATGAGCACTTGCCCAGAAGCTGGAAGTGGATGATTTTATTTCAAGCCTAAAATGTGATTTATTTCAACACATGACAAAGAATCAATAGATTTAACATCCAAATGAAGCTCAGCGCAAATTCAGCCAGGAAGACCGTCTTTACTCATTCATTTACTATTTCTATGTTATACTCTCTCTCCTCTCAATAAGTGATCGGGGGCGTCACTCCCCAGCTTAACCAATCACTTCGCTCTATTCTCATAAGCCTATCATAGCGCTCTGCCAAACCTTTTAAATCTGCTCTCCCCTCTCTGACAGCTGTCATTTCAGGTGACTCGACCCAACCCTCCTCCACCCCTTCTCACCTCCTGTCCCTCTGAATCCAGGGTCAAGCTAAGCCACTCCCCTTCAGACCGACTCCAACCATCCATTCACCACCACCAGTGTCTTTAGACCCCGGGGGGTTTCATCGGAACGGTTCTCCCCTCCCGAATGATACTTCTTGCACAACGGGGCCTAATCGCCAAAACTCCATTACATTCATTTGTGTATTCCTGGCAATACATATGTATTCTTACATCAAAACCGTCTCTCCAGATTGAATTAATATTATCCTGCTGCAGAGTTGCATGCAAGACATTTTTTATAGACACTTAGTTGAGGCTTTATAATACACATTTGGGGTTTGGATGCAATTGGAGCAAATTAGACTTTCGCCTTTTACATATTTAGTTTTACCTGGACAAGTGGTTCTCATCATTATGCGTAAACCCTTTTAATTTTATTTGAGCTGACAGGTTCTTGCTTGCAGGTGATTGCATTTCTAACAAGAACCAAACGGCTCTACTTCTGCAGCCTGCTGAATGCGAGTTAAAAAAATATGTTAAAAATAATTGTATGTTTTGTAAGTGACAAGTTCAGGTAACACACCGACAATCAATTTAGTGAACTTTATAACAACTAAATCCAATCCAGATATATTCAACTAGCTAAATCTATGTATAACAAGTGAGTGCCAATTGAGGCGTTCTGGGGCAGCATAGACAGGTATTTTCTGTGTTAGAGTTTTACTCCCTACAGGGTGTACTTTGAGGGTTTGTGACTCTGCAGACCGTTTACATGCAGAAAAACCTTCATAACACACAAGGGGACGGGTAAGAACCGGAAAAGCATGACATGGGACCTTTAAGGCGAACACTTTTCTATACAGGTATTTATTTCTTGGCTTTTTACCCTTGAGTACAGCTGAAGAGAAACAGAATAAGATGAACATGCACTAATGCATGTCATTAGTTTAACATTAAATGTTTAAAACAAATATAATCAAGCCACTCTAACCTTTTGGTGAGGGCAAGTGTTGCTGTACTCTTACTATTATCACGATTGACAACATAAAACAGAAGATGATTAAAAGTCCACCGTCTATGCTGAATAGTTTTTCTTTTTAAATAATTTCAAGTGCTTTCTCTCTGAAGGCCAGGGGTAGGGGTGTTACATTTATATTTGAAATAATGAAATTAAAAGTAGCTTAGCTAAATGACTTAAACCAGTTGTTAATGTAAAACAACCTAATATTGTACCTCTTCAGACACAATCAAGCTTAATATTTGATCACGTGTGAGAGAGTCTTCATACAGCTGTGCCTCGGTTTATCTCCAGATGCACCAGCTTGGGGTTTTTCCCCGGAGCTTCATGTTCACCGTTCAGGTTTTCTTGTGTTTTCTCCCCGCTCTTATCCTTCTTCTCATCACTGCTCCTGATAGAGAGAAACATTCAGAGGTCATTTTGATTCTTCCCTTGCAGAGTGTGCATGTCCTTAGTTTTTGCAACATCATTCAAAATTGGTACTATATATGTGCATATTTTTGTTGTTGCACAATAATATCCTGCGTTATATTTGTTACTGACATTTGTATTTCCACATGTATATATTTGTTTTTTCACTTTTTAATGCTATTTTATTTCTATTTCAGAAATATTTTGGACTGTTTATTTCTAGTGTCTTAATTTCTCTTATTGCCTTGTTTTTTTCCATCCATCTATCTATCTATCCATCTATCCATCTACCTATCTACATCTACCTATCTACCTACCTACCGACCGACCGACCGACCGACCTACCTACCTACCTACATATCTACCTATCTACATATCTATCTACCTACATATCTACCTACCTACCTATCTATCAACCGACCGACCGACCGACCTACCGACCTACCTACCTACCTATCTACCTATCTACATATCTATCTACCTACATATCTACCTACCTACCTATCTATCTACCTACCTACCTACCTACCTACCTACCGACCGACCTACATATCTACCTACCTACCTATCTATCTACCTACCTACCTACCGTCCGACCGACCGACCGACCTACATATCTACCTACCTACATATCTATCTACCTACCTATCTATCTATCTATCCTTCTTACTTCTTCTTGAAGAGTTTCTTGAAGGAGCTCCTGAAGCCTCCTTTCTCCTGCTTCCTGCTCCTCTCACTGAAGGGGGTGTGATGGTTCTCCTCTGCCCCCCCTCTCCACTTTGACTCGTCCCCCCATGATTGGAAACCGGAGTCCTGGTGCAGATGGAAACAATATTACATATTTGATTTGATTACATTTGATACCATTCATATGTTTCTGTGCTTAATATTAAACTGAATCTTGAATGTTTCCTTTAAATCGAGGCTAAAACCCTTTCCGCTGCTTTTCCTAAAGACATTTCCTCAAGTCATCTTTAGACATTAAACTATACTACTCACTACTAATGTTGCAATGTTAATTTTCAACTATCTTCCCTCTCTTTAAAGGTGCCCTATTATTCTGTTTTTCATCAATATATTATAGGTCTCAGATATATACAGAGCCTGTCTCTGTTTGGCTCCAAACACCAAACAGATCATTGCAGCATTACCCATAATCCCCTCTCTTTCAGCCTTGTTTCAAAAGTGCTGATTCTCTGTCTGTTACTTCAGATGAAAATAAGGAGCCCCTCCCCACGCCCCTCTGAGAGAGATTTGGTTAAAAAGAACTCAATGGTGCTCTTGGAGGAGATTCAGGTGATAAGGTGTGGGGGGGGGGGGGGTTACCTTGGTTGCTGATTGGCTAATGGTTACACAAGCCAACAAATCGTTATGACATCATAAAGTGGCCAAAATCTGATCAGCTCATTTTCAGACAGGTTTTTATGGATCAGGACAAAAAGAGAGAGAATATTTTTTCCTGAAACTTTCAGAATCTCTTTTCACAGAGGGGACACATGTTGATGTAGAAGAGACATGGAAAAGTGGGTTTTGCATAATAGGTGACCTTTAAAGTATTGTCTTGTTTTCCATTTAATTTACTACATGTGTAATCATATGTTACACAGCTTATGTAAAGCACTTTGAATAGAAATATGCTATATAAATACGCTAACCCTAACCTTACAGACAACCTTTCAAGATATACTGAGTTGTTGCATTTGTTTTGTAACCCCACCATGCTGAGCAGCCCATGAAGGTCCTCGCTCTGTTTCTCGGGGTCCGCTCTGGTCACCGGGGGAATGTGGACCTTACGGGACGGGGTGGGACCTCCTCTGTTGCCTTTACTGCCCTGACGCTCCAGCTTAGCGTGGCTGCCCAGCCTCTGGATGTGGTCTGAGAGAAGGGCTCCGTCCAGACCCCCCACTGTGGAGTCCATCTGCAGGCCGTTCAGCGACTACACAGCAGAGGATTCACACATTTAATAATAATAATAATAATAATACACTTTATTTATATAGCACCTTTCATGTATGACAAAAAATCACAATAACAAATGAGGAACATAATTAAAATATGCAAAAACATTAAAACATGAACAGTGAACAAGTATTTTAAAAATAAATAGAAATAAAGATTAGACAGCATTTCTATATACAGTGGGGCAAAAAAGTATTTAGTCAGCCACCAATTGTGCAAGTTCTCCCACTTAAAAAGATGAGAGAGGCCTGTAATTTTCATCCTAGGTACACTTCAACTATGAGAGACAGAATGGGGGGGAAAGAATCCAGGAAATCACATTGTAGGATTTTTAATGAATTAATTGGTCAATTCCTCGGTAAAATAAGTATTTGGTCACCTACAAACACGATTTCTGGCTCTCACAGACCTGTAACTTCTTCTTTAAGAGCCTCCTCTGTCCTCCACTTGTTAACTGTATTAATGGCACCTGTTTGAACTCGTTATCAGTATAAAAGACACCTGTCCACAACCTCAAACAATCACACTTGTTAGAAATTAAAATCAATGTTTTATGGCATAATTTAGTTAGAACATACCGTCAGTTTAAATGCTATTTTATTCTGGAAAAAACCGGAAGTCCTCAATACCAAGCTTTTATTCTGAAAATCCTTCATGACGACATCCGGGACTACCGTCCATTAGTATCATTAAAATGGCTATTGACGCCGTTAACATGTGTTACATATAAAGTTATGAAAGAGATAAGGAGGAGAAAAGGCATGTGGAAGTAAGCAATGAATGTAAAATGTCGAAATCCTCTGTTTAACGCAACAACGGACATTAAAGACGTGGAGGGCCGGCCCACAGGGAGGAGCCAGCAGATAATATATAACAGCTGAAAAAGTGGTTCTCTCTCTTTCCTTCGCCCACGAGAGCCAGAACACAGCTATTTTTCTGACTGAACAATATTCTGCTTGTAACATTACCGTACCCATTTGAACCTTCTCAGAGACTCAATTAGTCTCCTTTTTTTAAAGCTTCTCTCCTGGACTAACGAACACAGCTAACACACTCCAAACTCCACTATGGCCAAGACCAAAGAGCTGTCAAAGGACAACAGAAACAAAATTGTAGACCTGCACCAGGCTGGGAAGACTGAATCTGCAATAGGTAAGCAGCTTGGTGTGAAGAAATCAACTGTGGGAGCAATTATTAGAAAATGGAAGACATACAAGACCACTGATACTCTCCCTCGATCTGGGGCTCCACGCAAGATCTCACCCCGTGGGGTCAAAATGATCACAAGAAAGGTGAGCAAAAATCCCAGAACCACACGGGGGGACCTAGTCAATGACCTGCAGAGAGCTGGGACCAAAGTAACAAAGGCTACCATCAGTAACACACTACGCCGCCAGGGACTCAAATCCTGCAGTGCCAGACGTGTCCCCCTGGCCCGTCAGAAGTTTGCTAGAGAGCATTTAGATGATCCAGAAGAGGATTATGGTCAGGTGAAACCAAAATAGAACTTTTTGGTAAAAACTCAACTAGACGTGTTTGGAGGAGAAAGAATGCTGAGTTGCATCCAAAGAACACCATACCTACTGTGAAACATGGGGGTGGAAACATCATGCTTTGGGGATGTTTTTCTGCAAAGGGACCAGGACGACTGATCCGTGTAAAGGAAAGAATGAATGGGGCCATGTATCGTGAGATTTTGAGTGACAACCTCCTTCCATCAGCAAGGGCATTGAAGATGAAACGTGGCTGGGTCTTTCAGCATGACAATGATCCCAAACACACGGACAACGAAGGAGTGGCTTCGTAAGAAGCATTTCAAGGTCCTGGAGTGGCCTAGCCAGTCTCCAGATCTCAACCCCATAGAAAATCTTTGGAGGGAGTTGAAAGTCCGTGTTGCCCAGCGACAGCCCCAAAACATCACTGCATGGAGGAATGGGCCAAAATACCAGCAACAGTGTGTGAAAACCTTGTGAAGACTTACAGAAAACGTTTGACCTCTGTCATTGCCAACAAAGGGTATATAGCAAAGTATTGAGATGAACTTCTGTTATTGACCAAATACTTATTTTCCACCTAATTTGCAAATTAAAAAATCAGACAATGTGATTTTCTGGATTTTTTTTCTTTTTTTTTCTCATTTTGTCTCTCATAGTTGAGGTATACCTAGGATGAAAATTACAGGCCTCTCATCTTTTTAAGTGGGAGAACTTACACAATTGGTGGCTGACTAAACACTTTTTTGCCCCACTGTAATTATTATTATTATTAACTTATTTCCAAAATAAATGTTAAAGTAGGGACACATTGGTGCCAGTAAAATGCAGAAATAAACTATAATTATTAAAAAAAATAGAAAAAGATGAGACTGTACAGTGGAATAAACCGCTCAATAAACCGTATTTAATTAACATTATTTAATTTCATTCTGTTCTTGTACATATCCCATTATTCTATTGACATGTATGTACTTTTTACACTATTTATTTTGTATTCTTGTACTTTATTGTATATGTTGCATTGTTAGAGGAGCTCAGGTCAGAAGATGTGCATTGCCATTTATACACTGTAGCTTTGTGCATATGACAATAAAACCTTTGAATCTTTTTTAATCTTGAATCTCACCTTGCTCTTCCGCTGGCTGGCCTGCAGGGGGCGGTGCATATTGCGACGCATCATCACAGCTTCATCTGGAGAAACGCATCCTCGGTTCAGAAGCTTATAACCGTTCCCATGGCTCCCCCCGTTTCCAAAGACATCCCTAGTTGTGGACACGTTTGCCGCCATTGCGTGATGTGAAGTAGAGGGGCCTTTGGGGCACTTCACGAAGGCGATGTCGATGGAGGAATCCGAAGAGCCGGAGGAGCAGCGGTCGAACATGGAGACATCGTGAAGTCTGTCCTCCTCGTAGAGTCTCTCCATCCCTGGGGGGGTCTGGAGGCAGGAGGAACTCCCCGAGGGCGTCGGCCAGAGCGGAGCCTGGTACAGCCTGATGGAGCTCTGCAGGTCTGGAGGGGAGGCGGTGCTGACAGGACCCCCCCTCACTCTCAGGGATACTGCCAAGACCTGAAAGCCAGACAATGGTTGACTGATTGACTAACGGGTCAAATGCCCCTGATTTGAACAATTGTGTTGTGTTGTGTGCCCCTGATCTGACATGGGGCAGATTAAAGAGGTACCAAATTGCTTTGTGTACCCAGTTTCGTTGACACAAGACATCAAGGTCTGTGCCTTTGACTCAAAACAAAGTAGGGTTCAAAAAGGGTTCAAACAAAGTACTTAATATTAGGATTTGTCTGAACATGTCTGATGGTTTACGTATTTGAATGTCTCCCAAATGGCGACGTTTGAAGGCTGGGCGACAAGCCTGTCCTCATACAGAGGGTCAAAACACAATTGATCGTACACATGGCACGCTTTTGGACAGTCTTGCACTTAATTGTACACACTTCAATCATACCAAGATCAACCTAACAAAGCTCCGAACAACCCTGTTGATGCCCAGAAGTATCAAGTCAAATCAATCAGAATCCACATAAAGATTATATTCAAGAGCTTCTGAGACCACAGACCTGTTGGTTTGTGGTTCTGTGAGTCCAGCTCAGGGTTGAAGTATGTAAGCTGCGAGGGCCACTCTGTGTCGTAACAATGAGTTTCACGATCCGGCTCCCATTCCTGGAAACGATGAGACTGGATCTGATCCAGGAGACGCTGCTTGCTCCGCTTCACCTGGTTGGCGTGTTCTCTGTGAGGGATAGACGATTCAAGAGGAGTCATCAGAATACCTTTATTAGTCCCACAGAGGGGAAATGTACATTGTTACAGCAGAAAAGAGCCAAAGACAGCTTAATCAACCCTGTTTCCAGACAGCAGAAAGCTCTGATAAACCTACTGTTACCTGCCTGGCAACAAATGAGTAGTTAGCCCACTACCTAATAAATAATAACAAAAATACTCACAACATGGCACTGTTGCAAGGGTACGGTGAGCCAATGTTGTTAGCTTGAATCCCACTTTCCACTGTCTTTAACAGATGTTTCATGGTAGACCTGCAGCACAGAACACCATATTTTTAAGGTACTAACAGTAAGAATAGGCTGTGTTTGACTTCTGAAGCATGCGTGTAATGTTGTTTGTTCTGTAGAGCGGCTATCCTGACCTCTTGACCTCCTTGCGGTTGTGCAGCAGCAGCTCCTGGTTGTGCTGCAGCAGGTGGTGGTACTGGGTCGTGAAGGACCTGAACTGCTGGATGCACACCAGCAGCAGGTAGTAGTCTGGGTGCTCTGCTGTGGTCTGCCTCAACAACCCCTACACACACACACACACACACAGATGTTCAATTTATGTTCCGCAGATGCTGTCTTCAGACTCATTACCATAAATGAAATATTATACATTTTGTTCTGTCGCCGCTCTATTTAATGTTTGTTTATTTATCTTAATTTATATTGTTTGTGGTTGTTCCTTTTTAAAATGCAGATGTGTGCTCTCTAAATTGGGTGGCTATGTGTAACCCTGCACTTAATTAATGAGCTATTGTAATGTTATGGTAATTTAGTTATATTGAAATGTTTGATATTGCAGAGAGAAGATGGTCATTCTTTATGAATGTATCCTATTTAAATCGCCTTACTACTACATATATGCTTTGTGTTAGATGAAGTTTGAGTGTGTTGATCTCACCTGCAGCAGCAGCAGATACTCAGGGATCCTCTGAACCGGCTGGAGGAGCAGAGTGTGCAGCGAGGGCCTGGATTCATCTCCCATTATTTCACTCTGAACGCGCCATGCGACCAATCAGAGCAAAAGAGTCAACCAATCAGGATGGAAAGACAAAACCAATGCAGCATGAATGACCAGAGAGACTTAATTAAGCTGTTTTCTGTGGCCCTTGCACACTAACAGAGTTCGGGCCAACTAGATGTTTTAAATTCTGAACTTCCCATACTGTCATGTGATGAGTTATATACATTTCTTATGCTCTCTGCACATGAATTCATTCTCTGACGCTTTTACAGTATCATGCCCTGCCTGGTCCTTTCACATTATTGCACTTCCTATATACTGATTTGTTTTTGTGTTACCTCCAGGAAGGCAGAGGTTTTCATGGAGCTGGAGGCGAGCATGTTGACGACCGTCACGCAGTCTGGGAGCTCCTTCAGGTAGGACACGTAGAAGTCCAGGAAATCGCTCTATAAGGGGACAGAGAGAAATAATGTAGCTTGTATTCATGCACAATCCACACTCATTTTCCATCATTAGCTTCCAGCTGTTGTCCACGTTAATCACGACTTATTGCAGGTCTTTTCACTGAAAGCTTATGTCATTGTTTTATGTAATTCACTGCCAGGACTTCTTTGTAAAATAGATATTGAATGTCAATGGGAGATACTTGTAGTTAAATCAATACACATTTTAATGTATTTTAAATTACAACCATCTGTTTATTGCTAGATAAGACATGTTTTAGCATATTTTCTTGCATACATTTAATATTAAAGTCCATACAACATAACAAAATAAATCATTATTACTAAATACCTTTCAAATAAAAAATGTCAAATAAATACAAAAATGTAAGTAATTCTTGATAATGTACATTAACAGTTTGAGGTCCTTTTTAGAAACGATAAAGGTACAAAAAACTGTAAAAGCTTTTAATTGGAGGATTCCCAAAATGTTTTTTAATCTATTTCCTTCCTAAAGCTCTCAGGCTGCCTTTATTTGTTCTAAATAGAAAGGTGTTTCCTACCAATTACCATCGTTTCCTCTCATTCATAAGGCGTGGTTTACACGATAACCCTAACCCTAACACACAGACTCAACACATTGATCTTAATAGAATAGACTCATTAGCTCCAGTGTCTGCTTTTGGTTTCAGCCCGGTTTGGTTTTTGCCATTAGCACCTTCCTAATATAATTAAAACATTTTGTAAAGTTCTTAAGCTAAGAAGCAGGCTCCTTTTTAGATATTAATTACATTGTACAGTGATAATAAGAATCATGTTGTCTTGAACCACAGCTGTATCCCTGCTCCCATCATGGCCTCGCTGGAATTTGACATTGCTCTTCCAGTCCGTCATGGCTGGCCAAACTATTCAGATTCATTATACACAGCCGGTCATAAGACCAAACCTTGTTGACCCGTCCACAGTAAATAGCCTGGGACGGCGCTGTGGCTTCTGAATGTCAAGTTCTGAGTTTACAAGCCAGCAAAGTCGACATTATGTGTGTTATATGGGATTTTAAAATATACACAGATATAAAAATGTCTAGAGATTTTCATGTTGAGTTGTTATTGACACTGTGTCAGACAAGAAAGTGCTGATTCAACTATGTTCATTGTGGAGGCTGTTGTTTAGAAGTAAGGTTGTGTTGAATTGAATAATACCACTTGTCTACAGTGGCCAAAATAATACAAAACAAATTCAGTTGCAGGGTGGTTACAAGTTGATAGGTGGTTTTGATTCAGGTTTTTTAGGTAAAATGTATCCTGTTATTTGTATTTACTTGCCCTATTTTAACTATGTTATCTGTTTCATTGTGTTGCACTGTTGGAGGAGCCTGTGACCTAAGATGTTCAATGATATATCTACACTGTGGCTATGTACAAATTACAATAAAAGCATTGAATCTTGAACAAAGGGTGGAAATGCTTCTGTAAGCATATACCATTTCCCTTACAGCACACCAAACAGCCCGTAAACAGACACTGTTGCATCAGCCAAAGCTCACACAAGGCTTTATGGTCTTACATTTTGACCTCACAACAGTGAAATCCATACAGTAAAATACAAAGTGTACATACTTGAGTTTGTGGTTTACCTCTTTGCTGGTGAGCCTCATGAACACATCCCCCATGATGCCTTGCCACTGGCACTTTAGCACACGTTCCTGCAGAGTATGAAGAAGCTCAAGGTGCTGCTGGATCAGAAACCTCAACGTGCTGGGAAACGGACTAAAGACAGCGAGAAGGAGAGAAGACATGGAAGACATGAGTTATAGAGAATCCTTTCTTTGTTGCTTAGAAAAGGAACCAACAAGAAACCAACATGGAAACATTCCAAAAAGCTGGAAAATTGGAGAGAAAAAAACCCTCATTAAAGAAAGCAATATTTTATCTTCTATCTAAATAACATTGTGCATACAGTTAACAATTGTAAACATCCTTCAAAGTTGTACGGTCATGTAATTTACTGACAATTATTCGGCCATTTTATGTGACAGACATATGGCAGCAGACTATATCAGATTAAAACAAATGCAATCATTTACAAGTACCATTCGACCCCGTTTAGCATGTCGCTTCTCATTGGTACTCATTGAGAACACGTGTGCTGTGCAGTGATTACATTAGAGAGCTGCGTGGTGTAGTCTTTTTAAAATCCTCTCTGTCTCTCTGGTGCTATAACCTGCTTTTATTTAATTAGTCTATTTCCTGTTATGCCCTCTGAAATTAGAACCGCAGCCACTCCAGGAATAGATCTCGGTGTTGATCTGTTTGTGTTATTTAGAGAAAAGATACTTCAGGCTGTCATTTTTATTGAGTTTAAGGATGGATGTTAAAGGTCAGCGTTGTCTGGGTCAATCTGGGTTTCCAAAGGTTGTGTGCGGACGTTCTAAATGTTCATACAAATGTTATATACTGAGAAAAAGTGGCCATTTACATCCTTATCCATTATTGGTTCAGTTCAATAAAGTATGTTAATGTTAATCCAATTAAGATTTTTAGGCTTTTTTTCAAACTGGGTTCAGTAGTATTCGTGTTTTAAGGCTTACCGTTTGTCTTTGGAGGTGGGAGCTTCTGATCCATTGAAGGAGATGTTGGCCTTCAACAACAGAGACAGGTGGGACACATACACTCTCTCGGACTCCAGCAGCTCCAGAGCCACTCTCTGCCTCTTATCTACACACACACACACACACACACACACACACACACACACACACACACACACACACACACACACATACCATGTATACATCACTTCAGGGGACATTACATTGACTTACATGCATTTCCTGGAGACTTATCCTAACCTTAACCATAACCAACACATGCCTAACCCTAACCCTTACCCTTACCCTAACCCTAATCCTAAACCTAACCAAGTCTTCACCCTAAAATTAATGATTCCCCTCATGGGGACCTCCAATTTGTCCCCATAAGGGAGGTGAGTCCCCACACGTGACTATGTAAACAGATTTAGGTCCCCACAAGTATAGTAATGCTAGGCCACACACACACACACACTTAAAGTTTAAACTATGTTGAGGTAGATATAAGTCATAAAGTTTAAATTAAACTGGTTAGCTCCTCTTGGTTATTTGTCGTAAACTAGTGGTGATGAAGCTCACTATCACGCAACAATTGGTATCAGAGACGAGCCAACGACAGATAGCAAGTTGAGTTTTACTCCCGGATATTAGACTTCAAACAGATGAAGAGGATTCTTTAGGGGTTTTGGGGTTGTTGAAATGTGATCCATGCAGACTAAAACTATGATTTTGCTTACATCAGTTACAGTCTTAAATATCCTAGAATCTAATGTAAAGACCTTCTGGGAAATATGCCTATTCAACAGTTAGCTTAGCATAACGGTTGGAAACAAGGGGATACAGCTAGCGGAGTTGGACATTTGCGCTTGGGGGGGGCACATTTTTTTTACTGACGTCAGTACACAGTCCCAACTATTGCGTGGGGTGCTACGGATACAGTAGCAATAAAGCCAGCGTTCACCGCACTGAGTATGACTTTTCCACATACGAATACAACACGTCCCGTCATGCACGCCTCATGCCCGCCGTACACACACACTCATATGTAAGGGGCGGTCTCTCCCCCCAACAACAGTGCATTACATAAATGTAAAACTTATCATAACTGTGCACATCTTATACTTATTTGATAACTACTAAATCCCTTGGTTACTTGAACACGCTACAATATTATTAACCAGTGTCCTACCTTATTAAAATATTGATATACAAAATATTTGTATTGGAACAGTTTTAGACGTAGTAATGCTGTAACATATTTCAGCCACTAGGGAAGGCAATGCCCCCCGCAAAATCCACCTATGCTAGCCTTAAACTGAACAAAATATAAAGTGTTTTGAACAATATGCGAGAGTGTATCGACAAGTGTAGACAACTGTGTGTCTTTGTCACGGCTTAAAACAATGAGTGAGTGAAATATGTTGGTATTTTAATGATGATAAGGGTTTTAAATGTTTCTTTAATTGTGGTCACTTGATCATTTTGGAGTACCTGGATCGCCCGCATGTAATATTGATCTTTTATTCTGACTGCCTGCATTAATGTAAGTGTTTCCCAAAATGCTGAATTATGAAAGGGTATGTATTCTGTTTGCAGTGGTATTAGTCAACGGACGTGTGTGTATAAGTAGTGGTGACTCTTGGTGGTTCTGGTGATGATATAAGGGATGTGGTATTATTAGTTTTATTAACACATATACATATTACAGTATGTCTTACTGTTTTCAGTCTGGATGTTTGGTCTCTCAGGCTCCTCTCTGCTGTTCTTCCTTTCACCCCACGCTGGAGATTTGGACGGACAACCTCTCTGCTGCTGAGCCTCCTGCTCTGAGGCAGAGGCTGCAACACACACATTAATGTGAGTAAACTGCTTTTGTATTCGTCTGACATTTGTCTTCACTTCAGTTTAGTGGGTGGACTCACTGTGTGTGGATGTGGAGCTCCTGTGTGTTGAGCTGCTGTGTGGCAGACTGGAGAAGAACTGCTGAATTACACTGAGGTCTGATTGGCTCGGCACACAGATGTGTTCGTCCCCTGAGAGCAAATCTGCCTTGGAGCCCTTTCTGCTTTTGGACCAATTAGCAGTGGAAGGAGAAGAAACAGAAAATAATAATAATACATGGGATTTTTATAGCGCTTTTCATGAAACTCAAAGACGCTTTGACAGAGAATTAAGGAAAAAAAAGACAAGAGAAAAAAAGATAACAAAGAAATACAAAAAGAGATAAACAAGACAGAAAATAGGGGGGAAGGGGGGTGGTCAGTGGTTGAATGCAGTGTTGAACAGGTGGGTTTTGAGTGATATTTTGAATGCTGTGAGGGAGGAAGAATCTCTGATGGATTGGAGTAGTGAGTTCCAGAGGGTGGGTGTAGCAACGGAGAAGGCTCTGTCGCCCCAGGACTTGAGGTTGGTCCGGGTGGGGAGGGACAGGAGGTTGGCAGTAGCAGAGCGGAGGGAGCGAGTGGGAGTGTGTCTGGAGGAGGTCAGTCAGGTAGGATGGGGCCAGGTAAAAAACAACTACTGTAATTTCCCCAAATATGTTTGCTTCCCTGCCAATACGCAATTATTTAAAGGGAAACTAAAAGCAGTTCTGGATCAATTCTGCATTCTGGAGGTAACTAATAATGTCTATATATCAAAAAATGTGTGGACGAAACAACTCAAACATTTATCATAGCATAAAGCTCTACCTGTGTGAAGCAGAGAGGATGTCTTGTGTGTTTTCTGACTGCAACATCTCTATCGTATTCTGCACCTCCCTCTGTCTGTTAGACACATCCTTTATGTGAAACAACGCCATGTTCAGCTCCTCCTGCAGGGAGATTAAAGCAAAGAACTGCATTAGTGTCAAGACAGTGTCACAGCTAGATGTATTAATGTGAGCAGTAAATATCTGATTTTGAGGGAAATCTGCTGGGTTTCCTTCAGGCATCTATCAAGAAGACAGCATTCTTCTTCTACAGTAAATAACATCCACTATACTAAAGCCCCAGACACAAATATTCATTAAGAAATTAAGGGTTTATGGGAAATGTGGCAATCCTTGTAAATATGGCAACTTGCACATAATTATGGCATACTGTACTTAAAGGTGGGGTAGGTACGTTTGAGAAACCGGCTCGAGATACATTTTTTGTTATATTCCATGGAATGCTCTTAACATCCCGATAGCAATGAATATCTGAAGTGCTTTGACAACAAATACATAAAAAAACTTCATCACTGGAAGCCGTGGCGCTGTAAAAAGCACGACCAATCATCTGAGCCGGCCCGGCTAAAGTAACTGGATGGCCTACCTGCCTGTCAGCCTTCCATCTGTGCACAAACGTATCTCGTGCCCTCATTGGTCAAGTGTGCGTTCGTGTGTGTTGGAGGAGGGGCTCTGTGAGGAAGTGGCAGATTTGTTCCGGCTGTGTATTTTCTAATTCTAGCGCACTCTAGCTGGTTTCTCCAAAATTACCTACCCCACCTTTAAATAACTCCTACTGTACAAAGCTACACAAAGCATAAAGCACATGCCTAATATACTGAAAACAGATGCGTGTTCAATTTAAACATCTCATGATATTATGATTGAATCAATATGAAATAATAATGAAAACAGTACATTGAAACCAATTGTACAATATAGAACATGTACATACCATGCCGATCAGCATTTTTTAACTTAGTAGTCTGAATGAGTTCCTTGCTCTCTAATCAATGAAATTAGTTTATAGTTCCAGTCAGATGTTTTAAATGATGTTACAGCGGCCGCTCCACCCCACAATGAATAGACTGTGTGTGTGTGTGTGTGTGTGTGTGTGTGTGTGTGTGTGTGTGTGTGTGTGTGTGTGTGTGTGTGTGTGTGTGTGTGTGTGTGTGTGTGTTTTCACTTCATAGCGCCTCTTGCACCTTAAAAGTGTTGAGGGAGTTCTTGAGGCCCATTATCTTATCATCCACATCAGTCTGATGGGCCTGCAGCTTCTCCTCCAGGCCGTGGTCCCTCTGACGCAGCTCGCACAGCTCCGTCAGAGCGGCATGGAACCCCTCGCGCAGCTCGGCCACCAGGCCCTGCAGCTGTATCACAAGAGCAAAGCAATACGTAATGTTTTCAGTCGCCTGCTTTAAATGAAAAGAAGAAAATATTAATTTAAAGGGTTACAATTTAGGAAAGTTCAAACTATTCACCAAAGAAACTCAGTATTGTTGTTTTACTATTTCTTCTTTGAGTTTGGGTTTTTTGTTCTTCCACTTTAATGATGAAGTGAATTATTAACTTGTGTATGTTCTTTGAGTTGTCATAGTACCTGTTTGTCTTCTTAATTTGTCTCTGTTTCTAAATTTGTTCTGATTGTATTGTGCTGTTTTTATGTCATCAACTATTTTTATTTTATTATTCTGCTAGAAGTTGTTATCTTTGTTAAGTCGATGATTATTGCTTTACCTCGTTTGACATCCTTTTGTCACAGTTAAACTCTTATTCTTTCTTCATTTCTATCTCCTCAGTAACTTTTGTTCTCCATACTTAACCCTTCATTGTTGTTATTTCTGAATGTTATCATTCAAAGCTATTTTTCCATCCTTTCTTACTGATAGGAAGTTGTGGATTCTTCTTCAGTCTACCTTTTTATGTGCAGTTCATTCA